GGTTACCTTTCTCCCTAAAGTAACCATAGAGTAAGTACAGCCCTAACTCAAAGCTAACACTTTGCCTGTGTGACAAAAAACAACAGTCCCTTTCGTATACACTGAGGAGCCTCCTGGTGTACTTACAGAGTTTGGCAGCCTACTACCCAGTGCTCCTCCCTTTCAGTGAAAGTGTGCAGCATACTATCTTGGGGGCCCCGTTTCTCCAGCTGAATGGAAACGAAAGCTTCTGGAGGCTTAATGAGGGGGGAAAAACATGGGAGCTGAGAAGAGTCACCTCTCAAAAGGTAAGCTGATAACCTCCTTCTGAACCAACCAAATAACTTTAGATGAGACACAGCTTCTCCATCACTCATTTTACTCATTCCCTATATGTAACAGGTACAAACACACTGGGTCTTATGGATCAGCTATCAGAGATGAGATGAGCTCTGGGAAAAGTCTGCCAGTCTACATATTTTTAATTTCAGTACAAGTGAAATAAATGGTGAAATAAACAGTGACAAATAAAAAGAAATAATGTACCTCCTGATATTGGCATTATGGTAGTGATAGGAACTGTGAAGCTGCCTGGGCTAAGCTGGACATGTTGGATGCCTTTTTATTTGCACCTTCAAACCGCAGGTTGTTCAATGAGCAGAGTTTTCAGTGCTTGACTTCCAGCTGATCAGCACTGAATAATAAAAAAATTGCCCTAACTGTGTCTTGCCAGTACCCTGTTAGTACACGGTACCCCATGTAAAAGCCAGGAAATCAGTCTGAGGAGCTATTAAGTGGGCATACAAGCATGGAGGACAAGTTCTGTTCTACAGGATGAGCAAAGTCATGTTTAATGGCCTTATCCTGGCCCACGTATTATTTGTCATAATTTTGCAATGTTTTAAACTTTAAACTCACTGATGCTTAGAAACTCTTATAGGGTATCTGGATTTCCTCCTTTAATGAACATGTTATCTCCACAGGTTTTGATGTGAAGCCAGAGTCCCATCGACAGGCTATGGCGAGACAACCGTAGCACTCAGACCACCAATTCAGACCAAGAAATGGGGCAGCTGGGAATGTGCCTTTACAACCGAGAGCCCATTGCTACATTTCATCATGGTGGAGGCCCAGGGCAATCTAAAGCAGGTAGTGCTTAGAATTCACACGTGCACCAGACTGACCCCTACCCAGTGGAGGGGGCTTGGCCAGTGTGTAACAAACACCTTTTCATGGCACAGAGTAAACCTGGAGAGCGCCCAGCAGAAAAAGAAGTGGTTGGCATGGTTGCTTGCAGCAGCCGATCCTGTTTCACTCCCAAACACTGAATTTCTTCCACTTGCTGAAATGCTCCAACTTGTTAGACCTACATTTCCTTCCTAAAATATCATGAGTATCAATTCTGTGCTTGCTATCATAAAGAATGGCAGCACTTCCTACTAAATCAGTGCAGATTTGCAATTCTGTATGCTTTCATTTACCCTAGCTTTATGATATAATAATTCACTGGGATCGTTGAAAGTCACAGAAAAAAAGCATTTCTTATTGAGCACAGGCATAATGAACCTGTAGCAGCAGTAGACTCAGAGGCAGTACCCAATTTATAAATCAGACAACATTCTCGACATTCAATCAGCTGCAAATAAAATATGAATATTCCCATTTTCAAATATGTACAAATAATTGTATATCTAGATCACTTATCTGGAAAATCAGTTTGTCTCCCCACAAACACAAAAAACTACACTCACCCCACCACCTATTTAAGTCCCAATGGCTCCTGGTATGAAGGAACCTCAGAAATTTCTGCATATTTGTATAAAAATAATCCTAATTTTCAAGTAGGAACAAGTGGTACTTTTCCAAGTTCTTGAAGTCATATTTCAAAAATGGCACAGGCACTTTGAAGTCCAGGAGAGCTAAAAAAGCACACTAATTTCCCTGTAAATCAAGGAGAGCTATTGTCTTTTGCAGATAGCAGGAAAGGGAAAGACCAAAATGGGGAAAAAAGCGCCACGTTTTGAGAGTCGAGTTCCTTCTCCTAGGTATTAGCTTGGCTTGGGTTAGTGCCAGTTTGCAGTCAGATCTACCAAAGAACACCTTTGCTCTGTCATAGTAGAAAATTGACTTATTGCCCAAAGAACAATTCTTCCTGCTTGGCTGAGCACAGGGAACTTACAACGTGTTAAAAAAACAGTGGTCAGCAACTTCTTCAGAAGTTAATGGGCAGACATGAGCAGTGTCTTCGTTCCTGAGAAATAGTTCAGCCTGTAAACAAAGTCAGTATAGAAAAGTTGGGCGCTGATGTTAGAGATACATGGGAGTTTCCCATTCTGAAGGTCCTAGACCAGTATCAAACAGGCTGGTCTGCATGAGAGCTTATTGCACAGGCTGGTTAAGCTGTGCCCTTCGTGGCACAGCCCACAAGTCTTCGCTATCAATCAACTAGACCACAGTGGTATTGCAGAGCACAGAGCTCCCTTGGCATCATGCAACCAGCTCTGCTTCACATGGGCTGAAGGGGCACACCATGGGCCTTGGCCTGTGTCAAGTGGGTAACCCACGGCACTGGTGTGTCCCTCAGCACAGACGCAGCCTGTGGCATCCTGCAACCATCTTCCTTTCCTATCTAAGGAGATTATACTAGATTTTTTTTCCAGTTTTACATACTGATCTGGAATAACAGATGTATGACATCTTTGTCCCTCCCTCTGTTGGTTGCATTAATTGTCCTCTGTGTGAGAGTTTGATTAGTTAGCTAATACCTACTGACTATAAATCACCAAAAACTGATCCAGAATGGATGCAGCAGCCATTAAATTATTTACAGAAGAGAGGAGACATCTGAAAATGAAAAATACAGTCACTGCCATTCTGTGGGAAAGAAACCATTCACCATTTAGACAGTGAAAGAGCTTCAAATATTTGGAAGATCAGTCTTTTTCAACTGGGGGGTGAAGAGCTATTGCCAGAGTAAGACTACTCATGGTTATCAGCAGAGACACACAACATCAGCGCTTTGTATGGCAGCACAGAGGATTAATTTGGGAAAGAAACCGAGGTTGCTCAGTACCACTGAGGATTTTAGTGCTGCAGGATCTGGTTAGAAATGGAGACAGGGAATTTCAGACTTCTATGTGAGATGGAATGGAAACCAGCCTCTGGGATTAACTTGACCATGGCCAACTCTGGGAGGCCGCACAACTGGCCATCCATCTGCCAACGCCTGGGTGCCCATCAAGTGGCTGCAGAGTGCAGCAGCTCCCTGGGACATGGCCCATGGGCTGCCAAACATTTAATGAGATTAGTGGCACAAAGCATTCCTGATCAGCAGCAAGCAGGTGTCTCTGACTATGCGATACTAAGCTTTTTTCTGGTGGGCTGTCAGGTTATCAGCTTGTTTGGGCCAATGGATCTCAGCTGCACGGTGCAGAACCGGTATCCTGCTTGTGTTGGGACAGGATGCAAACCATGCAGTGGTCAAACAAGTTTGTTCTGGTGCAGCTGACAGTCTCTGTGATGAGTGCGGGCCCTAGGACCTCCCTTACATTCACCTCCAGTGTAAGGAAAGAAAGTGCATAGGATGCTGCTCTAGAAACAGCAATTCATGCTCAGAAGCTTGCAAGTCACAGCTACATGAGATGGCTTTCCCTCCGCTCCCCACACTGCAGCTCTGAGTGACCCAAAATGAGACAATGGGAAACCACGGTAATGTCCATTTCTCATTCTTAAACTCAGAAAGAAACTGGTGTCACACAGGAAATGTTTTAGCCTCATTCCCTTTGCTGGTTCAACCCATCTCTAGCAACTTTTGAAACCTCTGACTGATTTGAAATACTTTTGACATAAGAACAGAGGTCTCAAAAGTATAAATCTCCTTCCAGTTTTGCAAAATCAACATTCAGCTAGTGAGGAGAACCCCTTGCTCAGGGAAAAGGCAAGGAGAATTTGACCCCTAGCCATTTCACTTGTCTTGCTCAGCTCCCAGGAGGCAGCAGCCAGCTGGGCTCCCAGCAGTCAGCATGTGCACGGCTACGAACCTGCTGCAAAACACAGTGCTTCTTGCCCAGCTAGACAGCAAACAGGGCACTTCCCACACACAGGAATGAGCTGAGGATACTGCCTGATGGCAAGAGACTGAGCATGGGGAGCATTGGGGATGCAAGAGGGGGCTGTGGGGTGGACGGATGAGGTGTCCTAAGGAACATGGAAAGAGATGTCAATATAAGCATAGAGAAGGAAAGACAAGCCCTAAAGAATGTCTATTTGCTTTTGAATTCAAAATTGCATATGAGGTCACTTAGCTCATCACTGTAATGCAGCTGTCTCTGGAAGAGACACAACAGCTCCATAAGAAAGTGCAACATGGAGCCCAACAACAATTTAGCATCTATGAAGCAAGGGCAGCTCCTGAGCACCATATATCAAACACAGGATGAAAAAAAAAAAAAAGGAAAAAGGCCAAATACAAGATGAGGAACAGAAATGGCTTGGTGACCCTGGCAGCTTGCTTTTGAACCAACATTACGGGGTCATGCTGACATGAATGTTTCCCATTGCAAAGAGTTTCAACCATGCTTCTGTTTTCATAAGACAGGACAAATGAAAGCGGCAGGAACTGATCGTTTCACCATCCCAGAAGAATGCATATTTCAAGGTCAGGTTGCAATTGCTAGCCTTGTTGCATACCGTAGGCTATAAGACTTCATCTGTGCCTTTTGAATCCAATTCATCTCCAACCACTTTCAGTCCTCTCTTGAGGTATATTTTTAGCTATGCTTCATCATTTACCCAACTAATAGACTTTAAATAAATCACTGAGGTGACACCATTTATTTTTATGTCACATGCTATAATACACAATCACTGCAGTTCGTGCAGTCATCAGTGATGCTGTTCCAAGGGTTGAGCAGGACTGCCATCCAATTGATTATAAGCAGAATTAACAGATACCCTCTTTGGGCTAAGTCTGACAAAACCCATTACTGCTAGTACAATATGAGGAAGAACATGCTGCTAACCTTAATGTCCAGGATATGGGGAGGCTGGACCAAGTAACAGAAGGAGGATTGCTGAACAGCTGCCAAAAGAGCATTTTTCTGAATGACCTGACAGGCCAGGCTAAGTTGCATGTTCCTTATTCCAGATGGACACAAGAGCTAAGGAGAGGGAAAACACCGTGTTAGGCATTTCCTCTGCCATTTAAAAGACAGGTTACTTTACAGACATTGCTCTCTGTCTTGTAGTACTTCAGCAGCTGAATTTAACAAAAGGAGGATTAAGGGAGAGCATTCTAGTATATTTGTATATGTTGTTATCATCGAAACATGACTAAATGTAGAGATCAAGAAAACATTTCATTCATCTGTATTTAGTGAGTTGTTATTCTCAGCTCTACTCTGTACAGCAGGATGGTGCCAGACAGTGCAGCCAAGTGCAAATAGGCTGGGAAAGGAGTAGATTTCAAATAAAACATGTTTGTTTCCCTTGGCAAATTTTTAATTAGATGCCACCCTGCTGCAGAATATGGGTCATGACTGAATTGATGGCAAGAAAGACTTTGCGGAGAGCTTTAAAGAAGAAATCTCCATGGCCTGGCAGTCTGTGATACTGTTTTCATACACTCATACAAAGAGGAAAGGACTAAGTATGCAAAATAGCATTGAAGACTGAGATTGTTTTCTTTCATTACAGAACTCTCTACACCAAATGTTGTTACTGTGTGTGCATACAGTCACACGCAGGCAGCCTGATTTTTTAACAAAGTTCCTTAGACAAAACTCTGCTGACTTAAAGAGTTTCATCCCAGTAAGGATTCCTGGATTAGGCCACATTAACAATCAAATTTTCAGTGCAATTTTATGAAGTTAATTATAAAACAGTAGACTAAATCATATCATCACTCAAAGACAGACAAACTATAGAGAAGTTTATAGTGTCTAATAAACACATGACTGAGGACCTTTCATACTTTAGGAAATAAACAATAATGTAATACATATTTTTTGCTTATTCTGCAAATTAAATCATTCACCTGCATAACACCATCTCTTGTACGGAAACTAAATTTTCCAATATGACTGTTAATTTCTTGGATGCTTAATGGTGAGCTAGATGGAATATATCTGCAATGAAAGCAAAATTATCTGTGAACATGGAGTATAACAGAGAAAGAAGCCAAACTGAGGATGAAAATAGTGATATATTCAGAAATGCTTTTAATTTCTTTCCCCCTTTAACTTTAGAACACTTAATGGAATCGGTCACTCTAGTCCTTAATTTAGTGATCTTAGGATGTTGCTTTATTTTTCAGAAGTAGCTTTGTAAGAAAAGGTATATATCCTGTGATGTTTTGTCGTTGACTTTACAATGACTCTTTAGCTCCTCCTAGATGAGCTTGGTCTAAACAAGTGAAAAATCTGCTCCTTCAGTTTAATCATGTCTTGTTTCAAGTATTCGTTCCTAATGTGGGGTATTTTTGTGCTGCTGTACTGTCTTCTGGGCTCTGATGTCAATCACTGCCCCAATTCAATTAGTAGCTGAAGTTTCATTCCAGGTTACTTGCCATTGCTAATCTTGTTTGGAATAGCCAAATTTTCACAGCAGGCAAGGATGTGTCCAAGTGAATAGAATGCAAACAAGCGCATGGAACAGCAGGTCGTAAGGGAGCCCTACTGCTCATGTTAGCCGTAGGGAATGACTGACTGGGTGCTCTCCCTGAACCTAGTAAGAGAATTCACAGGTTGTTCCCTTTCTTCCTTCTACACCTTGATCTAAAGTACACACACACAAACTGGTGTATTTATGTATGCGTATACACACACATACTTATCAATGCTTTAAAGAGTAAATCGTGGCAATGGTAAAATCTACTTGTTCCAGTCACTTTCCCCAGAGGAAAAGGGAGGATTATAAATAGCCTTTTCCTTCTGCAGAGGTTGGGTCCAGCAGTCACGGAGTTGAAAAACAAAGATCAAAGATGTCACTTCATGAAGTGCAGTGTAACTCTAGGAGAACAAGCTTTCTTTGTGCTCAGAATTAAGAGTTTATTTACAACAGTTTCTGAGGTCCCATTTTGTTACCTATGGGGTTTGGGGCCATCACTTTCAGGCCAGCCCCATTAAGCATCACTTGCTTTGAAAGAAAATGCACTTTAGTTCCAAAATTGCCAGTGTTCCACACAAATTCAGTGTCTCCTCACTTTCACTGCTCAACAGCTTTAAATTAGCATTATTCAATCCCAGGCTCTATACAAAAAGGAAACAAATCATGCAGCATTTTACATTTTATGCCTGAATACTTTTATGTATTTTACATGCTGAACTTTAGGCTTATAGGTGAGCCTAAGAAGACTAAAGGCTTGATCCCATCTAATCTAAAGAGATTACGCCCTGTGAAACATAAAAAAAAAGTTCAGTCTACCTGTCTACACAGCTGCCATCTTCCAGGAGAGATGTAACGAATATTGGTGAGAGGTGATCTGCTTTCTCCCTGTGAGATGCAGATTCGAAGAGCACAGAACTCAGGTACAAATAGAACTCCCCAAAACCTGCTTCCATTACAAAAGCCTTATATAACCTAGATACAAAACCACATGGATGCATTTGAAAAATTAACTTTCTTCCTGCTGTAAGCTGTGTACATCTAGAAACCTACATCCATCAGGTTCATTTCAATGAGATATCTGCATTCAACTTAAAACATTTCTTGGCATCTGAAACAGTATGATGGATATGAAGCAAATAAGTGCCGTTTCCAGATAGCTGACGGTTGCTTAGTATCACCCATTCGATTGACACAGACAGCACTTACAAACAAAGGACAGTAAGTTGCACGTCCACAATGTCATAAGGGAAAAGCAAGGGAAATATTATAAATGTTCCTATTTAGAAAGTACTGCATTTGGCAGAGAGGTGAAGAATATTGTTTTAGTCTAGAAATTGGGAAGAGGACTGACTGCCAGAGATGAAGTTTCAATAGACAAGCAGAGCTCGTACACATTATTATTATTAAAATAGTGACTTCATAACTTAAGAAACATTTATTCTAGAAACTCCCAGTATGACACAACCCCAGTACAACCTTCCCAATATAAGTCCATCAGCAGACAGTAAGCAGACAGTAAACATATGGTCTAGATGCAACTACTGGCTCAGGAGATCTCTAAAGCACCAAGTGTCAGAAGACAGGCGCTGTCCTGCTTTTGATATTGCCTCCCTACAGATCCATCCCTGCACTCCTTCAGATGCAAGACCACAGAAACACTGATCTGGCCTGTGATGGCTCTTCTCATGTAGTATAAGAAGATGTCAAAAGGAAAGAATTTGACTTTTTGATACAGACTGCAAAGGAATAAGCTTCTCCCTTGCTTCCTCCTAACATCTAAGGCAGGTGTTCTATCAGTCAAGAAAACAGGTCACAGAGAAGTTATGTTGTGAGAATGTGATAAAGACACAAATAGGACTTAGAAGACAAAGCTCTTTGTCCTTTACAATCAGATAGCATTCCTTGCCTGCGAAGTAAGGGAAAGGAAAGGGGAGGAGACAAAATAATATATGTAAGACACCACAAGCATCAATCAGTAATCATATGGAGCACAGCCAAAATCAACTCTAAGGTCATAAAAACAAAAAGAGCTCTGTGTAGTTATAAATGTACTCTCTTAGTTGACCAGTATAGACATATGAATAGCCTGTACAGAAGAGACATCAGCACACAAATCAGCTTATTAATACTGTGCAAAGGGAAAAAATAGCAAAAAAGAGATTAAAAAGGTGATAGTGTCAAATAAAAACAGAGAGAAGCAAAATTCAGACTAAAGCTGCACTGTCTAGCTCTACTATTCTACCAAAGGATGTCGCTTTTCATCAGGTGGTAGAAAACGAATACTGACGAACTGAGGACTGAGGAACACAGAGAAACAACAAGGGCTGTAAGGAACAGTACATACAACATAAATGTGTACTTCTAGATGTGAATGACCTTCCATTCTGGGAATGGACAGACAGGAAAGTAATGTGAATAATTCTGGCAGGTCCCCCCCACAAAGTCTGATAGAAGTTATGCTATGAGGTAGAGGAATCCACAAATGTAGGTACACTCACTTCATTTTACTCTGGATAGCAGAAAAAAAGATCACTAACGTTTCTGGTGTTTCAGTCTGAATCTGTGTCTCTAACAGTTTTATTACAATGAATTGAGAACTTCATCACATCAAAAGAAGATGTAAAAATAGCCCCTCAAAATCTCACATTGAATAAACTGTGTATGTGTATACCGATATTAGAATGGCTTAACCATCTTCTATTAAATGAAAATAATGTTATGCTTAATGACCTTACATATGCATCATGACGTCTTACTTTTTGTCATAACTCCACTGACTTCCCATCCTGGAAAATGACAATTTACTTCTACTTTTCAGGGATTTCTAAGTATGACACCTCAGCTGAGTATGTCCTCTTAGCCCTGTTCCCAAAAGAAACGCAGCCATGTGATGATCCAGTCTGCTCATCTGTCTCTCTGGATAACTTTTAAATCAGTTGGTGAATATTAATGAAACCTGACACAGAGACAGAGCTTTTGAGATACTTGGTTCCTACAGGTTTCATGAAAAAGGCAATTGGATATTGATTTTTCAGCTAAGTGAAAAGTTGCTAAGGCAATTGGATATTGATTTTTCAGCTAAGTGTAACCTTACCCCTTATTAGTTATCAGAAAATGTGTGTGAATATGTATCTATGTGTATGAGTGAAGGAACATAGAGAGTTATCTCAACCAGTGGAATGAGTTTAACTAGAATCTATATTTTATTAGAAAGCTGAGTATCCAAACAAGAAACACAAATTGCCAAGGCAAGAGACCTTCTTGCTTCATGGAATTGCTTGGGTTGAAGTAAATAAACCTGTTCGTTAATTTGCCCAAGAAAGTTTCAGATATCAAATTACAGCTGTTCAAGAAGTTCTTATTTTAATGGAAAAGAGTTGTGACAGAAAATTAGGTTTTCCACCAAACTAAGTTGAATGGTCGTGGCTCACACATCTTAAAGATGTCTAGATCTTCAGCTAATGAGAATAAATGCTGCTGACTTTTTGAAACGGACTCTAAATTTTCAAGAAGAAAGATAGAGAAAGGATCAAGACAAAAAAAACCCCGCGACTGGAATGTCATCTATCCTACACAATCAACTTTGCTATTGCAAGCAATCACATCCCACAAATCTTTTTCACAAATGAATCAAACCCCATCTAAAAACCGCTAGTTTTCTACCCTCTGCCCTTTCCCTTCCAGAACTTTGTCGTCTGATTCTTAGAAATCTCCTTTTAATTTCCAACTTAAATTTATTCACAGTGATTAAATCCATTTGTTCTGCTGCCAAAATTGGCCTTTACCTTAAATAGTTCCTCTCCATTCCCAGTGCTTACCTTCCTGGCATATTTATAGGGGAGAATCTTATCTTCTCTCAGCCTTCATTTTCCTAGGATAAACAAGCCAAGATATTTCATTTGATTTTGTAAAATGTATTCTCTATTTCTCCTCAGCATGCTATTAGATCATCTTTGCTCCCATTCCATTCTGAATTTATCTTGCCTGAACATAAATCTCCAAATTGTACTTAATAATGCAGGAGAGGCCTCACTAGAATCATGTACACAACAATTCTCTCTCTACTGGTTACAAAACTCATTGCCTGATTCACAGTAAGATATAACTGCATTCCCCCTGCCGTGGCTGTGATATGTTGGCAGTTTACAATCATCTCATGGCCAGCTCTACACCCAGTTCTTTCTCCTCCTCTGTTCTTTCCAACTAATAAGCTCAAAGTTCACAGGAGAATTTCCTATTATTATGCATAACCTTAAGCTTTGTGTTGTTGATGCTTATCTCCTTTCTACTACTTAGGTCCTTGGAACCGTGAGTTCTTCCTGTAAGATTTATTTTCCATATCAGCTTATCTGCCAGCAATACAATGTCCTGAATTTAATAACACCCTCTTACGTTTTCTACTGAGATCATTAATAAAAATGTCAAGTAATATGGAGCTGAACAATAGGAATTTCACCAATAACCTGTCCCCAAGCCAGTAGTTCAACACTACCCTTTGTAGTCTCCCCATTAGATCAGTCCTTATCTTCTTTGCCTTCCTGTACAAATTGTCATCTCCTTCAGCGGGCAACTCCCTAAATGCATGCCACTGACTTCCCTTGTGTAGAGATTTCATTATCATTGTAAGGATCAGCACAGCTAGAATAATTTTTATGCTTTTCTACCTCTGGCGGAGAACAAAGCATGTACTTATGTGCCTTTTCTTATATTGCACTGCTCTTTGTAAGAAGGCAGCTCAAATAATGTGTGTCTGTGTAAAACTCTGTAGAAGGCGGCATCTTTGTGTTCATTTGATGAGCGAATTCCTCATGCTCCTCCTCCTTTCAACAAAATTTTGGTATTTCCACTGGGACAGGGCCTGTCCCGTTAAGCTTTGAGGAGCTGCGTGGCCTCTTTCTCAACTTTTTAAACTAATGAACATCTGCAAACCCCATGTAGACTCCATCTCCACATAACAAGCAAACGTATCTCCCACAACACAAATGCAGGCACTCTCCCTCTGTTTTTTCCAAGTATAGTAGGTGGTCTATTTAAAAGAAGTTCCTTTTTCCTTACAAACCACACCTCTCTGAGGTCACCACAGCTAAACCAGCACTACTGACCCACTAACCTGGCTAACTGCACACTCTCTGTTGCCACCCCTATCAGCCGATGGCGGAGCGTGGCAAGCTCCAGAAGCATGGAGAAGGAATCCAGGATAAAGAACTGGTTTTCTCTGCATGACTTTTTTCTTCCTCTGTTCCCACCTCTAATAGTGACAGAGCAATCTCTTGCACCAGCACAGGGTCTTCTATCAGTACCTCAGCAAATAACTGCAAAGAAAGAGGAAAAATAAAAAAGGAAACAGAGAAATCATTTACACACAGATGACAAAGGTCTTTAAATACTTTAGGGGGACTGTTCTCCTTTTTCTGGAAAAAATCATGGCTGGAGTCGCTTGTGACTTGCAACTCATTTGAGGTCAGAATTGTACCCACCCTGACCTAGCCTGATCCCTAAAAATACACTAGTGCTTTGCTACTTGCTTTGAAGGTAAAGAACTAAATCTATAAACCTGGCTCTACCTGATTGACTTAATAGAGTTTATTATATTTATTTTTTATATCTAACATGAGAGATTTGCCTCTTTTATTGTAATAAAAATTCAGAAGGCTTTTGGATGTATATACCTCTCTAAAGCAGGGTCTCTATAACCTGATTCACTTATTACTAGCTGAGGCCATTCTTCCTCTAACGAATGTGCAGTTCTCAGCACAGATGCCACTGTACGTATGATGGTCCCAAAATGAGGACAGCAAACTGATATGGTCAGCTAACTCAGCAGAGCTGGACCCCTTTTTGACTGGGATGGTGGAAGCTTCCAAAAGAGCAGAAACCCCAGGAAAGAAAAAAGATCAAAAGCTGCATCTTGGTAAGTGGAGAGCTGGAAAGAAGACAACGGTTCACGGGCTGTTGTGCTGTGGAAGTGATGGCAGGAACAGCTCCTGGCTCTATGTGCAGCAAAAGATGCTCCTTGTCTCTAGCTGTCACAACCTGTACGACTGCGCCACCCTGCTCATGTCAGACGGGATAGATGTGCCCATTGCTATACCTGAGTGCCTTCACAGTTCACTGGTTATGACCAATGAATCACAGATCATGAGAAAATCTGAACCCAGCCATGCAGTTATAAGTAATAAAAGCCTAGATTTTAACACCTGCCATTCACTACACTTTCACAGCTACACTGGAAAAAAAAAAAAAAAAAAAAAGGCAAGTTTGAAAAGACAACACCCCAGAGTTAAGTGTCAGAAGTTGTGCGACTTTATTTTATCTCTCTTACCCAGTACTTTACAATATGCTTTTATAATTCTGTGACTCTGGGTGGGTGGGACAGGACAACCCGTCTTTATGTGTTTCTTCAGAGCTGCTACAAGGATAATAGCATCTTCCCTATTTCTAATGAGAACAAGAGAACAGGTAATGAGCTTAGACTGTAGCAAGGCACATCTGTGCTAGACTTTAAGGAGAACTTGATAATGGTGAAGCTGGTGAAGCACTACAACAGACTGCTTGGAAAAAATCTGTATCACAGGATGTGTTTAAAAACAGGACAGCTACTTATCTCATGGGAAGAACGTAAGTATAGCTGATCCTGGCTTGGGATGAGAGAGGAAGATCTCACAGCTTCCCAGGGATCATGGAGTCTTGTAATTTCAGAATTCACTTTTTTTTTTTCATTTCGACATAGCATAACGACCTGTTCCTAGGCTGGCAGCATCTGTACCTCACCCCTGGATAATTTGTCTATTATAAAGTTGAAAGATGTTTATAAAGTCAGATAAGAAATAAAAATTAGGTCTTGTAAAGCCATTCTTAGTGAAGGGATGGAAAACCATGAAAGAATGAGGTCCAGGGTCACAGAAGGAGCAGTCCAGGAAGGACAGCAACATTGATTTTATCATACCAAGTCATAAAAAAACCCATCATTGCGTCAAGATTGCATCATCACACCTGTGCAAAATGAAACCAAATCAAACCTGCTCCAGCAAAGGTAAAATTTTCTAAAATTTAAATGCTTGACTTTTACAACCTTACCGTCTTTCTAAACATTGCCTGCTTGTGTGCCTTTGTCTCATCTGCAGCTTCTGTTGGAGGAAAAGGAATGGGCGAGAAGTAAACACAACAAACCCCCTCCCTTTCCCCCTTAGCAACTGCAGTGTGGTAACTGTAAGATCCGTCACAGATCTCTGCCACTGACTTCTAGGATTTAAAATTAAAAAAAGGAAAGAATCATTTGTGATCTGCTGTGGACAAGAGAGTAGTTGTACATCGCCACTGGATTTTATTGGCAGCAGAGAGATGCTGTGCAAGTAATTCTTAGGTTTTGCTCTATGACAGGGAGGGGAGTATCCTAGGAGGCTGTGGCCTTCTGCCTTTAGTTTGCCTCTATACTTTCTTACCCACCACTGTCTTCACAGTCTCTTCATCTAACCAGCTCTGTCTCCATGCCTCAAACTTTTCAGTTTCATCCCTGCTCCCTTGATTAGCAAGTCCTGTTATCTCTGCTTTTGGACAGCTTGATCCAATCTCTTTTCCAAACCACTCTCAACCCTCCGTCCCCACCTGAAGTGCCTTCTTGCCCCAGCCCCAATCTGCAGTGCACTTTTTTCCTCATACCTTTTCCTTCCAAAAGGAAGGAACCCACTGGGTCTTAGTCCTAGTCTCTAGCTCCCAGCTTTTCATCTACCTCAATCTTCCTTCCCATGTACTGGCTGCCATCCCACTTACCAAGCCATCTATATTTTCTCCATGCTTCTGTCCATCTGTGCTCCACTATCAGAGCTGCCGTGTCTCCCTTGTGATCTGCTCAGCCAGCTTCCTCCGCTGCCTCTGGTGAAGGCAACGCAAGTGACAGTGCGGGCTAACAGCTCTTCGTACTCACTTTCAGTGCTCAGACCCAAATCAAACATGGATCACTTAGATCAGAGCTATTATTGCAGGGACAGTGGAATGTCCTAATTTGCCTCAGGTTATAGATATACCAGGACACACAGAAACTTCAGAGACTGTCTTCCTACTGAACAAGTTGCAACAGCGTATTTTATTTTAGTCTATGTTGGCCAAACTTGGCAGGAATGCAAGCATAGCATATCACTACCTAATGAGTCTTCCCAAACTTGAACTGTACTGCAAAGCATATCTGTACTACAATCTTGTAGAGAAAACAGATACAATAATTTCTTTTCCAGTTCTTGCTCTCAGCAAAAACTAAGTTGACTAATCAAAGAAAAATAAAAAAATCAACCGGATAGAGACATCCAGAATTGATAATTTCATTCACAATAATTAGCATTTATCAAAATTATAACCAACCAAATACAGAGTTCTACCCCAGGAAATGGTGGACATTACAGTAATAACCGGCTCCACCTATAATAATATTTGCTTTAATGTCCAGTCTTTTTTTTGTGTGTGGACTGTACACACATATGAACGCAAAACCTGGAGACTTACCATGATCTCACATCAGTTTAAGTGTGTGTATTTTCCTTCTCATTAAGCTGATTGTTCCTCCTGTGTACTGGCATGAAATCAAGAGTTCCACCTTTCTGTGTTCATTTACAGAAAAAATCTTGCTTTAAAGGTGGATGAAATGGATCTTCACCAATCATAAGCAACTAATTGAATTAAGAACCACATAGCTAGAATTTAACCACCAAGTGTAAATGAACTAGTAGGTTCACACTCTTGGGCATTCTGCTTTAAAGAGTCATTACTAACATAAAAATGGAACTTACATCTCTTTGAATCTGAGAGCTGTAAAAAGTTTCTGGTTTTTCTATAGTTAGCTGCTCAACTACTAGCTGAAGTACTTGTTTTTCTAGATTATTTGCTTTACTTGCTGTTTTTGGTCTGCAGATGCTGTAGAATTCCTGGTAGATATACTCAAGAGCTTGGAGGATCAAGCACACCAGACCAAGAGAAGGGTGAAACTCCAGCAAATAAATGTTCTTCAAAGTAGGACTTAAAACCAACAAAACCAAAGAAAGAATAAATAGTTCTCAAAAAAGGCTTTTATAAATTGTATATATAAAGAAATCTTGCAATTGCTTAATTTGCAAGAATAAATTGCAATGGCTTTAGTGCATATCTGAAATCCATCACCAAATCTGAAAATAGAAATGAAGACTTAATGAATGTAATTATGTTGGAACACATCTAAGTAGTCTCATTTGCTAATGAAAGCAGAAAATGTTTAAAATTCCCTTTTGTGAGCTGACATGTTTTATTAACCACATTTTCACATCTGTTATGCCTGCCTGTTGAAACTGTCTGCACTTGAAAATAAGCCCTCAGATAACCAACACAAAATCAAAACGTGTGTAGGGGGAGGAATAGGGCCAAGGGCCTTGAGACAGAGGCAGGAAACCGGCAGGGACCAGAGGCAAGGAGCTTTTGGATTCTGGGCGTGTATTAACTGCTACATAAACCCCTCGCATAACCCACAGTGCTGCACAGCTGCAGGATGGGGAACATGGGGCAGGTCTGTACGGCAGGTCACGTGTGGATTCTGTGTGTGAAAACACAGCACACACACATCCAGCTGGGCAGTCATGCTAGAAAGAGTAATAGACTATGGCCAAAGAGCAGTGAAAGTTGTAAAGCCATCTCAGGACACTGATGCTGTGAGTCTAAAGTGAGGCTGACCTCAGTACTCACCTTCCTCATTATTGTATAATAGTCTGTACCTATGGGAATATTAATGTCCCAGTGCACTGCAAGATGCAATTATCAAATCCATTGTCATTAAAGGGCAGTGTAATGGGAGTGGGGGAGGAATCACTTCTGTTCCTTGATTGTTTTTCTGGCTACCTAAATAACATGAGACTAAATAACATGAGACACTCACCTATTGCTTGATTAACCTTAAGACTGTCATTTTTTCAAATAGTCTTATTTTCAGGTGCTGGAACCTGAATTTTTACAATTAATCACATAAACTAGAACAGAAAGAGGTACTCTCCAGAAAAATAAAACTGTGTAATTACTCACCGGCTAGTGTTAAGAGAGATAAGCTTCTTAGTAATTACATTATAAGGAAGTCTAAATTCATCGATGCCACCACTCTGATTTTCCCGCCAAATCTTGTGAACATATTCACTCTGGGCATCTATCTAATATTCATCAGTAAACACAAGCGACATTAGCCAATAAAATTCACACACAGCTAGAAATCAAGGCAAAACCCAAGAATACTTCATTTAAGCATAAGCTGCAAAAATTTCTATTTATATACATATAATTTTCCAAGTCAATTATATATACATCCACTCATGACGAATTATTCCTGCTAAAATTATTTTGAATCCCTCATATTCCTTCAAAACAAAATTTGAGCTCCAACGATGCTGACAAGGCTTCATTTTTATTGCTAGCAATATGGTAAAATCCGTGGCAACAACAGCGGAAACAGTAGCCTCTTGTACCAAACCTCAAACTTCCGTTTCTGGACTAAAAGCCAGATGACAAAGGTTGGCTAATTAAACTTCCCAGCTTGCAGTCTTTGAAATCAAAGCTCAGAGAAAGGAAGTGTCTTGTGGCAGAGGAAAGCTGAGGCAGATTTTTAAACCAGAGGAAAAATGTGAGGATTTCAAATATTGTGCTTTAATTTTTAGCACAGGAATTCACAGCTATCTGAAATATATTGTTTTTCAAAGTGCACTTTAAAGTACAAGCTTTGTTTATATTCTTTTTAAAGTCTCTTCTCTCTTACTATAAATAGGACTAGTTCCTTGTCCACTGAATTACAGAACAAATCTACATTATGATTTTATTTATCTTCCACACCTCTGTACTATTGTTTCTACTTGTCTCGAATGGTAGTAGATGTAACTTTAACATGACATACAAAGCTCTACAATCTTTCCAACATTTTCTTTCTGATATTGACGAAATGACAGCTTTCTGCTCTTGAGCTTCAGGCCTTCAATTTACAAAGCATCCATAGACTTCATTGTTAAATTGGTATTGACCCATCTTAACACTGTAAACCCATACAGATGATAATCAAAGCTTCCCATCCTGGATTTCAGCTGCTGCTTCCCCAAGATGGATATACTGTAAATTCAACCTACTTGTTGGTTTACTATGTCCCTCAGCAGTTGGAGGTGAAGTTGTAAACAGATGCATTCATCTTTGTAGGTGCTGACAAAATATTCACACTTGAGATCAAACCGTGGATGTTTACGCATGATGTCAACTATTACTTGGGACAAAGCAAATCTTTCCTGTGGGTCCAAAGCATGTTGGTAAGCTTCAAAGTAAACATCTAGAAGCTGAAGTGATATTCAGAAGCCCATTTAGAAACCTTCATTCACCCAAATATTCATTCTTTTTTGGGGAGAGCTTTCTGAACACAGAGGTTGCCACCTGTACCAAACCAACAGTCACCCAGTATGGCATCTTGCTTCTAGCACAGGATATTATTGAATGCTTTATCAGAAGGCTGAAGAACAGAACATAGAATAAACAGCCCACAGGAGAGATTTGTTCCAAATCTTGCATAGTTAATATCGGGGGTTTTTTTCTGCTGAAGCATGAAGACTTTTTATTCTACACATTTTTCCTTTAAAAATGTAACAAGGCAATGTACTTACTACTTTAAAAACACCTGCTTCTTTCCACATTTAATCCATTCTCTGTTTCTTTTCCAGCACACACACTGGGTTTGTATCTTTGAAAAACTCCCTTTCCCCCAACCTGAAACCTGCAGACTTGTCCAAGACTCTCCATTATCTCATTTGGCAATGACCATCACAGTTACTTTATATTTTTGGAGAAACTCCAATTAATTGAAGATGTAATTAAAGATGTACAAAGGCACATGCCCTCTTCAGGCTCTACCAAGAATAGCTGTAAAGTTTTATTGAAATAAAAATTTTAATTACAAATACCCCCCCAGCTTAGGACAGAAAAAGAAATGTGCCAACCATGACAGCACATGAACTCCCAAGGTGACATTGTAGTACTTTTTGGTCAGATGGCAATTAGAGGATTGAAAATATTAATTGGCTTGCTTCTGGACAAACTGGTCATGTAGGTATGAAATGATCTACATCTGGCTATTTTACATTGACACAGAAGTGGAAAAGCATCCATATTACTTTGCATTCTGAGACCAGAAGACTGTGAAGAGAAAGATGCAGAAGGGCTTAAGACATAACTCAGTAGCTGAGAACTCAGATTTCAAGGGAAACAGTAAGCTTTCTGATTTAGACCTGCCCAACCTGAACTGTTCTGGAGAAAGCCACAACAGTGCTTGAGAAACAGGCTATAAGCAAGTTTTATTTTGGCTAAGCTAAGCTGTTTTAGCTGCTGGACAAAGGGCTATTGTTTTCTCATTCAGCAAGAACTCTATCCCAGCTGGGAACAAAGCTAGCAAGACCCACTTCCATTTAATTTCAGCTAAAAGCAGAAGACCTCCAGCAAGAACGCATCTGTACATTGAATCCTACCTAGAGAGTTGGGTTGTGAGAGCAGTTTCAGAATATACTCTTTGATGGTTTTGGAAGAGATTAGCGCATTGTTACTGTAGAAGTTTTATTCTTCTCTACTAGGAGCTTTTCTGCCAAAAAGAAAGCAAGTTTCCACATACAGAAGGCCCATGATAAAAATAAAAGGTAGATTCACAGAGGTAGCATGATCACACAGCAATGGAAAACAAAGTCTATGGGGATGAGAGCAGAAACTTAGTGAACTAGGCAATTAAACAGCATTTTATATAGCTCCATCACACAAAGCTCCTCTATGAAAATGGGAGAGTGGCCTTAGGAGATTTCCTAAACTACATACAACTATTTTAGTTTAAAAGGTTTTCTATTTAAAGCCTCTTTGGTGGTACACAGGAGATTCCCTAACACCCTCTAGCATTCCTATTTTGAGAGCTGCCCTGTGTTACTTCATAACTGAGGAAAAAACATTTCAAGTGTGCGAAAGCAACCTCAATTAGTGTCATTTGTCCCTGCTTCTGAAGTGGACTATCTGCTCCTTTCTGCTTCCTGACACAGCATTGTCCTTGGGACCGGTGAGTCCCATGGCAGAAATACACTTCCAAACTCCTCTGGGTCTGTTCCTCTGAACTTGCCTAATCTTTATCCTTCAAGACTGAAGTCTTTGGGCAGAAACTCTCTATGCTTTCATGGCAAAATACAGACACATGACTAGATTCAGAGAGAGGAAGGGGAAAGCCCACAGGATACGCAGCAGTCCTTGTGAATGGCAAAGCTACAAATCACTTAAAACACATTTTTAGTGTTGGTTTGTTTGTTGGGGTTTTTTTAACTTCATACTAAGTCATGGTATTTTTTGCTCAAATAGACTAACAAAGAAGAAATCAATTAAAATACATACAGAATCATGTATTTATAGAGGTGTTATTAATAAATTGATTATTTTTTATGCTGAAACATACAAAATATATCTCTAGTTCCTTCTGACAAAGAGTAATCCAAATGACAAGTCTAGCCAGCTGCAGACTGAGTCTTTCCTCCATGGGCTTCACAAAGGTGCAATGATTACATTTCTAATGATAGCCATAAAAAGTTTCCTTCACCAGCCCCAGAAAGCAGGAACAGGCAGGACCACAGAAAAAAAATTGCACATTGGACTTCCTGGTGGCCCAGGCTCCTCAGGGATTCTTCCTAGTTTGCATTTGATCCATTCTCTGGCGTGCAAGGAGGGACACAACATTCTCTGCAGTTTCGCTCTGGATATGGCTTCATCCTTCCCAGCTATCCTTCCCAGCTATCCAGCGGTGGCTGACTCCCCCTAAGGCCTTGCAGAGGTGCTTCCAGCCTCTGGCACAGCAGCTACAGAGGCTGCTGTCTGACAACAAGAGTATTTCTGCTCCCTTGTGGCAAAAGTCCCTATATAGGGTCCTTTGGACCCAACTCGCAGCAGCAAGCAGCTCCAACACTCTGCACCCAGCCCAGCCCAGCACCAGGCTCCCAACACATATGAAACCTGTACCACCACCCTGTGGTATCCATGCGTGTACACAACGGGAAGTGCTGCTGAAAGGGAACCTTGAGCAACTTGAAGTCAACTGACTGCAAATCACTGTTTTCAGTCCAAGAAAAGCTTCTGTACCTGGCATTATTTTTCCAAGAGAGCACTTTCACAGATCCAGAGGTCAAGCAGCAGAGCAAATCGATCCACAGTAGCATATGCTCAGCCAAGGATGTTGCTGCCACTGAATTGCTCACAAGTTACACTGCTTAAAAGACAAAAAACCTAAGTAGAAAACAAGCAGATTCCAGTATCAGAGGGATTTCCACATGCCTAGAGTCCCAGGACTTGCGGTAATTCTTTTTATTTATAGCACAGGGTTGTGGTTTTTGCTTGCCAGGGAAGACCAGGCCAGAAAAAGTTTTCAAGTCCCATAAACTTTGGAGGGTTCCAGAGCATTCCACAAGCCAAAGAACAAGCCCACAAGGCATTTGGTTTAAACCTATCTCTTCCATCATCTTTTAACAGGTATACCTTGGGCAGCATATAAAGGGCAGCAGCTGGAGTTCAAAAGAGAGAGAAAACCAGAGAAAGCACAAGAAAACTAGGGGAGGACAAAGAAGAGAAGCTTAATTTTTCACGGCACCAAATCATGTTGGGATTGTCTTCATCACCTCACCTTCACTCTCAGATTAAAGAAAAGTGGCACAGACTACTCAAAGATAAATTTTACAACGAGATACAGCAGGGCAGAGTGCAGACCCAGGAGAGGGCTTTCTTTTCAGATGACTTGCTATCAGAAAAGTCTTTCTTCATAATTTAAAAATTACTGAGAAGGAAGAAAGGAAAAAAAATCACCACAAGTATTTCTATGCTAGCAGCCCATGAGAAATCTTTAAAGAAATCACGCTTTTGGTTTCTTCATTGTGATACTATCTAAATTAGAGCTAATTTTGACAACAAATAATAAATAAGTAGAGTGAACCTGAAATGTTTAGAGCTGCAGAGTTAAGAATGAACCATGGGGTAAACAGAAGAGGCTTCAGCAGCTACACTTCAGCTCCAGACTTTAAACGTGTCCTATTTTTCAAAAGCTGACCAAGAGAGTAATTTGAAGTCCATGATCACTGGAGAAGTCAGCATTAAAAGTGTTTGGGTTCATGGCACACAGAAAGAAACCATGACAAGAATGAGCATAAGGAGCTAGGACAGGCTGTACATGACCAGTCCTCAAGTGTACTGTGTGAGGTGGTAATGAAGTGACTTATAAACACAGGAACTGCTGTGCCAGACTAGCAGAGAACCCTGCCTCATTCAGTAGTCTGCCTCTTGTCATGACAGGATCAATGAATGGTTGAGGTTGGAAGGGACCTCTGGAGATCATCCAGCCCACCCCCCTGCTCCCAAACAGGGTCATGTAGTCTGGGTTGCCCAAGACTATGCCCAGTCAGGTCCACAGATAGACTCCACAACCTCTCTGGGCAACCTGTACCGGTGTTCGACCACCCTCACAGCAAAAATGTGGGGCTTTGCGTTCAGATGGAATTTCACGTGCTTCAGTTTGTGCCCATTGCCTCTGGTCCTGTCAGTGGAGACCACTGAGAAGAGTCTGGCTCCTTCTTCTTCATCACCTCCCACCATGTATATATACACACTGACTAGATCCCTGCTGAGCCTTCTCCAGGCAGAACACTCCCAGCTCTCTCAGCCTCTCCTCATATGAAAAATGATCCAGAAGAAGGTCCACAATGAGAACCTTCAGGTGACTTCAAAGGAGGTCCTAGAAGGCATTTAAGCATTCACAGGTTTGTAAAGGTTTTTTGTTATCTTAATCCTCAGATATGCCCTGCATTGTCTGTCAGAACATTTAATTTTAAGGAAGCATGTTAAAACATCAAAAAAAAATTGCTATCAATATAGAAAGTAATTCCAGCCACTTAAGAGATATTTTGTGCAATTCTCTGAATATCATACGAGTTTGTGTCATTTATTCACTGTTTTCTAATGGCCCTGCTCCCCCCACACTTTCTACAGTTACAAGCTTCTTCCTCCTCACTATTCTAGAGGTACAGCTGCTCTTTTTACAAATCTGTAATACAGTCTGTCTCAACTCAGTTCCTACTACAAAAAGAAGCAGGAAAAAAGGAAGTCTGGAACACCAAGTATTTTGCAGATTCTTATTTGCAACGGAGGAAAGTTTAAAAGTGGTGGGAGGTAAAATTAGTTCTGCAGAAAAGCAGTCCAATACATTAATTAGAAGACATTCAGAAACAATTTACACTTTTCTTTTCTGACTCTCTCTGCGTCTTGAAGATATGCTTGCTCATTATATTACTTAAGTACATCAGTAAATGTTCCTACTGTGTTATTTTCCCCTGCAGGATGACTTTGATGTCTCTGACCCTGAATAAGTGCAAAACTGTGACATTAACAACATGTGACAAGGAATTCCACATGTTCAGGTCTTTGCAACACATTCGTCACCTAGATAACTAGGAGGATAAAGAAAGGTCCCAAAAATTCAGTTAGAACTTGGTTCCGCGGAAGTACAGTAACAATTCAAGAAGTCATAGGATTAGCCTACCTCGTAAACAGCAAACCAAATTATCACAGGTGGTTTGGACCTGTAGATATCTTACTTTTATCTTTCTCAATGTACTGGCTGGCCACAAGCAGCAGCTGGTTCTCAAGCTCCTTCAGGTCCTCTAAAGCCACATCATATACTATGTAACCCCCTCGCTGGTCCTGTGTGTGAATACATCCGTCTTCACTAGTGTGAAAGCTGTCATGGTTTTCCACCTCTGCAAACTACATGAACTGAGCACTATGGACCTATGCCGTGAAAAAAGAAACACAGAGATACAGGCGGTCAGTTCTGCAAGGATTGCAATTCTGCATAATAAACATATCTAAGAGTGGACCAGGCCTAGGAACATGGCATTTTGTCTCTAGCAAAGAACAATAAAATAAATTTTGCCAAAATACTATTTTTTACAGGTAACACCTACATTGTGGCCTCATTTATTCTATCATGGAGTAAGACAAACTGTACAAAATTTCTATTGTGCCTAGCTCAGGCATATAAATCCACAAAAAGCTCCAAGAAGGCATCAAAATGAGATTAGCTCTTGAACCAAGGTAGAACATTTTTCCCTTTCCATAATTTAGGTCAAATTTGGCCAAAAGTTACTTAAATCCTGGTAAGAAGTCAACATATTTTTTAAAGCCTTCTTGGGTAAATCACATTTGCAAGATGTGGAGATAAGCCCACACACAAAGACTTCAGCACTAATTAAAAGGAACGCCCACTGACTGATGTCCCAACTTGCTGTGACATCAGCACTTGTTCAATAGAATAGTTTAACAATGACCTTACTTTTCTAAAAAAAAAAATCAGCATCTTTAAAAGAGAATCATCTACCTTGGCAGTGAGTGACTAGTTAGCTTGGTAAGACCCCAAGCAAGAATCTAGTACTGCAGTCAGCAGAAGTGGCGCCAGCCTTCAAAATATTCTGTTTCTTGACTAGGAATGCCACGAAGGGAACTACATACATCTACCTCTAGGTATATAATTACAAAAGTTAATCTCCCGGTGTAAATAAACACTTGGTATAAGGGTATAGCCATAGAAGCCTTTAAAAATCATTCTTCTTGTAAGAAGCTAGCAGACAAATACAAGCTCCTCATTTTCCACTGTTTGTTTTTCCTATTTCCTGGTATGTAATGCACCTTTGTTCTCACTTCAGTGCCAAATAATGCACAACGTATTGGGACTTCCTCCTTTCACTGGCTTTCCTAACACTTGCCTTTACAAGACCCCAGTGCTACCCAAACTTTACCTGCTAGCACCTGGATGTCTCAAATTCTATTAAAAGAATGGGTGGAGAAAAGGAAGAGGTATTTACTTTAGTCATGGAAGCCTTAGTCAAATTTAAACATACTGGGAAGAACAGCTTGCCAGCTTCACAGATCTGGATCGGAATTCGTTCTTCGCCATAAAGTTAATGAGGCAGCCCTGCAAAATGTACACCTAATGTGAACATAAACTTGGATCAGCCTGGTCAAAGAGATTCCCTTCCTTTTTTCAATATGGTGTTCTGCACTCTTTGTTCTTTCCTTATTCTTCTGAACAGACTATTTGTTTCACTGCTCTTAGTAACAGGATGCAGAATTTGCTAAAGGTTAAATCTAAGACCTCACCACACTAGGTAGAAGGGTTTTTTTTCAGTTGTGTTTTTAAACATTCTTATGGAGAACATTCATTGAAATATCTCTACTTTCAAGTTCCTGAAATATTTTTTTCCAGTGATTCCTGCCCTGTCCCACTCCTAAAAGCTCAGTCAAGACTACTGCATTCTGCAGAAGGGGCACATGACTACAAAACTGGAGAGTTCTTACAAACCAAAACCTAAAAGGAATGAAGACTTTCTCCCTGTCGTGTTTGCTTTGGGAGACATATTTTAAAGAGACTACCCAAGCCTTCGAAGTACTACTTATGCCTATAAATAACATTAATACCCAGTTATACGTCTACCAACAAATCAAGTAATTGGATATTTATGTGCGGGTTTTGCCAACAGATTTTGGCTTTCCTCCTCTAGCTCTGCTCAGATTTACTGGGGCTTAACAAATTCCTTTTGGGTTATGAAGCAACACTCATACGCACCTATGTACATTTTATCTAATTTCTTACAAGCCAAATCGCAAAAGGGGACAGAAAAAAGTTCTAAATTAAAGTAATGCATTGTTTTCAGGGCCTTCTGTCACTGAAACTCATGCCTCTGATGACCTTCATCCCAAGCAGTCTGCTAGGGAGGGTGCAACACTGCCTCAGTTTCTGATATATTGTGTGCTGAGCCATCACACTGGCTCCCAGCTTACAGTCTGAAGGGATTCATAATACAGGTACACCTCCAATTCTGGGCATAGATTAGATGCTAAAAATATTTTTATAACAATGCCATACAATTCAGGTTTATAGCACGTGCCAGGAAGTATGTTAAGATAGGTCTCAATTAGTTTGCCAGTAAAATGGCTCTATTATTGTTTCAGTTGTTTCTTAAGAGAGAGTCTGTACAATATATTAAAAAAAAAAAACCACATTAGAAACTGTTGTTAAGGAAATACTATTGCTCCTGCTTCTAAGTTTGTTGCAAACTAAACTGTAATAGGATTAGTAAATGTTTATCTAGGCTTTAGTTGCAGTTCGAGAGTATATATCCAAATCCATGTGTTAGAGGGGAAAGAGAGACCGTTGTGAAATAACGTCTCTCTCGTTGCTGGGGGCTCTCTGAAGTATTTCACAGCTAATCTGCAAATCAGGCAGTGCTTAGATGGAAGGTCAGGATTGATCTTTGCATCATTTCTGCTACAACAGAAAAAAGGGGAATGAAAATAAATATATATTATGCAGAGTTCAGAAGAGTTCGTGACGCCTGCTTCCTGGAAAACTGACTCCTTCCATTGGAAAACCTAAGTTTTTTTAATTACTTTTTCTGACTTGAAAATTCAAAAATGCTGGATGACCCAGTTCAACATTTTTTTAGTGGAAAATTATGATTTTCTAGTTCCAAGTAGCTTTTCCTTTAGGAATTTTAATTGATTGGATTTGTAAAGGTTAAGTGTGGCCATATTAGAAATAAAACTAAAGATACCTTAAAAATATCAAATCTATGTGTGTGTGTGTCCCACATTTTATTTTCAATGAGGTTTGTATTTTTTATGTTTAGGGACATGCAGGTTTTTTTCTGGTGTTGTTTTTTGTTGTTGTTGTTGTTTCTTTGGATTGTTTATGTTGGTGGGTTTGGGTATTTTTTTGTTTGGGTTTTTTTTTGCAGGGAAGGGGGTTTGAAGTCTTAACATAAGCAACAAATGGGGGCAGGAAGCGTACTCCCTTTTTTGTTCTATTTTTTTTTTTTTAGCCATAATTCTTCCATGAAGTGGCTTGTGTGCTTGGTTCTGTGTTTCTACAGCAAAAAAAGGCCCCAAACAAACGGGTTTTCAGTAAATGATCTCAAAATGTTGAAATAACTCCTATTAAAAGACTGTTGCACTTCTTCAGCCTTTCTACATGAGAATTTTGGGTGAATGTCAGGTAGCAGAGCTGCAAAGAAATTCTGTGGCTCAAAAGACAAAATACTTTATCACAGCAAACCACTGTTGTCAGCATGATATGTTGATTCTGTTCAGTGTATTTTACAAAAAAGTTGAGGAAACCAAAGTTTGATAAACCTTAGGAATTTAATTCAATTTATTATTTTTCCAATCTTTGAAGCTAAGTGTACTAATTCTATGACTTCAGCCACATGCCCTCATCCAAGATGAAAAAACAGTAAGTCATAAGCTCTACATAAATCTAAACAATACATTTTAGAAGTCATTAGGAGCTACCTAAACAAGCATTTCCATAAATTGCAAAATGCCTTAGATTTCTCAGGAACATTACTCTGTGCGATAATCCCACACTTACAAAAGTCCTCCTTCAAGCACAGCCAGCGGCACCTGTCTAAGTAAATGTTTATCTGGCAGGCAGTACTGACACTATATTTCTACATGCCTGAAGTTTCTCAGAGGTTTGCTACAGGCTGCTGGTAGATACAGGTATTTAGTCTACTAAGGCGAGACACGTGGTTCTGAGGAACAAGCTGCTCTGAATCCCTCAGATAATTCAGCAATTGATCACATCATAGCTTGCGTGGAAGAGAGAACTGGATCAGGTACTCCTGTTGAAGTAAGCGTTTTGGAAGACTAAAGGCTGGGTGGTACTTCACCTTGTAGTCAGCTGGCATATAGTGAATATATGGCTGTGACCTCAGGCCACCAAAACCAGCAGTGCCTCCCTTGGCAGCACTGACCCAGAAGGTGTCTTCTGCACTGGGAATTAGGTGACCAGCTTTGAAGGAGGGGCTGGGGGTACTGATGGTCAGGCTTCTCTCCACGGACCTGAAGCAGTTAAGGATCCCCAGGCACACTCACTGAAACAAACCAGAGTGAACACATAGTTCCATTTTCAGTTGGATGACAGCCTCCTTCTTAAAAAAAAGAGAAGTCTTATCTCTGCAGGTTTTATGTTGAATTTGCTTATCTTTAGCTCCTGGAGTCTCAGGTGACGTAAGAAAAGAAGGGACAAGAAGGTTCCTCTCCTCACCACGTGCTCCCTGCGGGCGGTCGCTGTGCCCTCTTCTAACCCTAGCAGCTGCAAGCTATCCATATAACTGTAGCTTTCCTCCAGACAGAAAAAATGTATTACATTTTTGCTACTCAAGGCTATTTCTAAACCTTTCCAAAGTAGATAGTTTTGCTATGTTTGTTGTCTAAAAGAAGGCTGCTGCTGCCTATGGGACTGTTTGTCATGGAAACCTGCAGCATGGAATGATGGAAAAGGATGGCACTGCTGCTTCTGTCAGAGAAACAGTAGGTTGACATAAATTTTCTTCCTTCTTTCAGGTTTTATTAAATATATACACAGCAACAGTTTTTTTACGTTCTTTTATTCTTCTTTCTGAAGGGTGATGGAGGCTTACTGGAGTTGATATTTTCTACATCATCCCCATGGTGAGACACAGCTGTGCTATCACCTTCAGTAGTTATTTCCTAGTTCCAACACATATAGTTAAAAATCAATTTGGTACAGATGCATACGATTCTTATTTGACAGCTTTATGCACAGGCTTTGTCATAACAAAAGGAAAAGAAAAGGAAAGGAAGTGCCATACTGGATCAAATTCATAATTCATCGAGCAGTGAAATTATCATGGCGTATGACTCCACAATATTTGATTGCTTTCCAGTCCTTAGTGGTTTATCCTTATAAAGTCCCTGGGCTGGAAGAA